CCCCCCCCCCCCCCCCCACACACACACACACACACTTCAAAGTGAGCTGTCATCCTGGCCTTGGATAAAAGAGCCAGCTACACAGCAAACACATTTATAGAAACAGTTTATACAGAGCTGGTCTAACTTTTGTTTCTCCCAGTACAGAATGGACCCGGGCCTATTTTAGAATGATGTGTGTGGAGTATGTATCTGAGTACAGTAACTAACAAAATCTCCACGCAACAGACAACTCTGCTATCTCTGCAGAAACATAAATCTCTTTGATAAAGAGCCAGTTGATCAAAGCAAGTTTGAAAACAGGCACACGTTCACGACTTTATGTAACCGAGGACTGAAACGTTATTAGAACAACTGCAAAGACAGAAGAGGCTTCTCACTGGCAGGTTGTTTTCTGTGAGTATATGTCCTTGTGGAGTGCATTGTTTCTTTAATTCAGGAGATTTAAGGATTAGGTTGTTCATTGTTTGCATCTCTGTGACAATCTCAGATCCCTGTTTGGTTTTCATGAAGATGATCTTTTTTTTTATGTGCACACCCTTCAAGTATACAATTATCTGAGAGAAGTGTACATTTGGATTGTGTGATGCTGGAGTAATGAATCAAACACGTTCTTCACAGTTTCAGTCTTGTCAGAAATAAACCATGACGACATGTGACAAAAAAAGCAGCATGCAACTGTTCACAAACAACCTCATTAGAGCTCACTAATTATTACACGTATTTCCCTGCAAACTGTAAGAGAATAAAGTGATTATGTCTTAAATTAAATGCAGCAGAACAGTTGCATTATTTTAGGAACCTGTTTGGTTCACTTTAAAAGCTGTGTCTCATGAACGTCCTAACTCTCTGTCTTCACTCGTACCTATTTACCTGGGGTTGATATGGCAACGCCGCGGGTTACTATGGCATGAGATGTTGCTTTCACTGTCATTCCCAATGAATAGGCAGGAGTTGCAGAATAGAAATAGTCTACAAGTCTTAGTGAGAATGCTTTGAGCTGGTGTCTTTGTGTTATTGTGAAGAAGACATAACATAGAAACAGAATAAAGCCTAACCTCAAACTCTGCCTAATGCTAACCTAACAACTAATTTTTAAGCAGAAACTGTCTTGTGAATAAATAAATTTGAGCCAAAAGAGCTCAATTTTCTGAAATCTTTTCTATTATACAGTGGAACTACAAAAGCAAAAATGCAGTCATTTCCACAATTCTCACGTCTCTGGCTATTGGTACAAAAATACGTATTTTTGTACAAAAATGGGAATGTGCTTCATTTCCTTGCATCATTGTCACAAAGTTTTGGTCCTTGCATCAAACAACATGATTCTAAGTATTGCCTTTGCATGCTCTCTTCACCTTTTAAATACTGTATTTTCCGGTGTATAAGTTGCTCCGGAGTATAAGTTGCATAAATCAAAAAAATGCATCATGAAGAGGAAAAACATAAATGTCACTTCGGAGTATAAGTCGCTTCAGAATATAAGTCACGTTTATTATGCGTCACTGCTGACCCCCAGGAAACGTGGGCTGGTGTCATGTCAAAAATTGATTGGCTGCCGTGAGAGTATGCATGGGAGGACTCGCTGTTGCATTTCTTTGAAATTTCACAAGATTAACACTTAAAAACAATTATTTATTTGCTCGCCATTATAGCAAAGGTATGTCTCAGTTTAACAGGTGTCGCGGTACAGGAACAATATGCCTACCGGTAGTTGTCAAAAGCCTAGAGGGCTCTCTTGTGCCTCTAGCGGCTGAAAATGGTAATGTTTACGCTGGTTCATCTCAGC